AGCTAATGACAACTATCAAAACGCCTGCCATTTGTTATAAATAAATATATATATTGATCGCAACAATTCATACGATCTGCTCAAACAGGCTATCATTGGATACATTTCTACTTCTTGAGAAAAGCGTATAGAAGATTTCTTTACAGAATCCGAACTCAGTGATAGAACGCCATCCCAACTTCTACGTTATATGCGTTCTACGGTCGGTCCCGAGGAAGTGACCCACAATACTCACCCTCTAGAGCGTTTGCAGGAACTTTTCGGTCGTAGCGAGTTTAATAGGGTTTTGGGTAGAGGTGGGATAGGTGTTGGAACTGCTGAGACCGGATTGTTGGAGTTGGAGGCAGTAGGATTGCGGACATCGTGCATGCTTGTGAACCTTGCCGGTTGAGCGAATGAGGCAGTATCGGGTCCACTGATGAGTGTCCTTTTGGATGCTCCTCCATATGCAATGATCGGAGTTCAACGTTCTTGTTGAACGGATGTTTGTTTGCGACAATACATGGTCGAAATCTTCCGGCGTGTGCTTGCCTGACGATTGGTCTCGGCTTGCCGGTTGAAATGCAGTTGTGAGTTGGAGTCTCGGGGACCTGTAAGGGTAGGCTTTCGAAGAGCAACGTACTCCGTCTGTTGACTGTTTCCAAGGGCGTTCTGTGGGAGTCATAGCCAGTGAAAGGAGAGATTTGAGGTGCCGTTGAGGTGCTGATCGTTCGTGGAAGGAACCATCAGATGAGGAGAGCGATGTGAAGAACAATCGCGTCGCAGATGAGATTGAGGCTCTGTTGAGCGGAAGTCATGATCTGACTTGTCTTGAGAAAAAGCAGCGGACATAAGGTGATAATCATTCGAGCGAAAGAGATCACCGAGGGAATTGAGGGACGAGGAGAGAAAATCCAGATGCCAGTGAAAGATTGGTTCTTTGCTGAGCGATTAAAGTCAGGCTTTGGCAATCACGTCAGGGTCACCAATCGCTAGTAAAGCCTGACCTGGTTAAAGACTTGTAGCGGATTGCTACCTTAGTAAAGCCAGACCGGTTGAGAATTGTAACGGATTGCTACCTTAGTAAAGCCTGACCGGATTGCATTGTAGCGGATTGCTACGCTAGTAAAGCCTGACCGAAATCTCTATGGCAGATTCTCCAACACCTAGCTAGACTCCCAGAACAGCTAAGCTATAGCTCCACGGATTGCTACGCTAGTAAAGCCTGACTGACTCAGAAATATTGCTACTCTAGTAAAGCCTGACTAACTCAGAAATCTCTGGGCAGATTCTCCAACATCTAGCTAGACTCCCAGAACAAGCACTAGACTCCCAGAACAAGCTAACCTATAGCCCAGCTATAAGGGAAGAGACGCGTAGCACGGAGCACGTTTATTCAGGACGTATATTCGATGTGTAGCACGCAATACATTTATTCAGTACGTATATTGATAGGCGAATTGGAATACGTTTATTCGGTACGTATATTGATAGCGAAGAGTTATTTGGCAAAGCGATTAGTTATCAGATAACTCTAGCATAATTCGTTTGAACTTTAATAGCTAAATATTTCTGAGTAATATTCTATAGCAGGATTTCTATTTGGTAATTGATGGAGTGTCCCACAGATCTGAGTACTAGGTATTCTGCCATAAGGGAAATGCAGGCTGGTCTATAAAACTGAAACATAAGTAACAACTAGTTTTGAAAAGTGGAATTTATTCTCTACTTATTTGCTTCCATCTAAATCACTTTAATTATTATTTTATTATAATTAACTGTTTACAATACTGACTGTTAAACTTATTGAATATTTAAGGGCATTACTTTAACGTTTAATGTAAAACAATGGGTTAATTTAATTCTGGGTCGTTAGTATCATTCAAATTGCTGAATATCGTGTAAGATCATTTTGCTCTTTAACTCAGAAAATACAAGGTAGCATTAAAATTATGAGAGCAAACGTACGATTAAACAAGCGGTAATTAGAAATTCATTACCGTAGGCAATTAATTAATTTATTTATTTCAAATGACAGGTGTTTTGATAGCTATCATTAGCCATTTAGCTAACTTCGGGCTTCACAGAGGGAAGGTTCATCAAAGTAGCAGAAAGTCGAGGAGTGGGGAACAGAAGAGCAATTCACAGATGCATAAGAGACTGACAGACACAAAGATAGAGAAAAAGGTAAAGTGAGTACTGTGAAAGTAGTAGAATATGACATACAGTGGGGTCATGGTAGTTTGAATTCAGAAGTCAACTGCCGATTAATAGACTTTTTTGCCGTATGAGTATACGTTGCCCAGGGTGCACCACGTGGAGGTAAGTCTGTCGCACACCCCACTGTAGGCAATAATTTATCCGCTAATCTAAGGTGCGAATCAAGTAATTGGAATCTTGGGACATGAATTTCTCACTGTCTAGATGTTGTATTATCTACTTTCAGAAATTAACCGAATTATTACACATTCAGGCAATGACCTCATTCACGCCTCCTTTTCCAATCGAAAATAGTATTCTAAAGTTGTGAAAAAAGTTGCTTCGATAGCTCTCCTCTAATTCCCCATTCATTGAAACGTGTCTGTCAAGTAGAAAATACATTTATCTCTATTTTTTAAACATTGAGCCTGAGAGATGAACACCACTTTATGGTGCTCTACCATTTCGACTCTGATGGAGATCTAAATGCGATAAATAGAGTGCAGGAGGGAGGATATTGCCCTGGCATTTATTTGTCTGCTGGTGGCATCGGTGACTTGGCGTACGTTTGGGTGCGTAAGATTAAGTCTGGATAATTGTGGATTGCCGCCCCGGTGCAGGGTAGAATACCGGAGGGGAGGGGGGACATTGAGGCTTCATTCACCTCAAGACTTTTTGACCTTTTCATGCTGGACTTTTTTTGGTTCAGCTGGTTTAGTTTTGCGGTGAACTAGGTCAATTTATAATAATTTCACAAGATTTCCTTAGCCTATTTCCGAAAGTGCTAAGTGCACTTTAGTTAAGTAGAGGAAAGTTATTCTGGAGCTATCTTGTGGTGATATATGGTATATGCTGCCTGCCCTTGGTGATTTAAAACAACCTCTTTGATCGATCCTCCTCTTCACCGGAGTCACATCAATAAATATCGATCTTATGACCTCATACTTGGTGTACTATTACGACTTCCCTCACTTTTCCCTAACAATTTTATAATCTTGCTCTATTCAAGCTGCATATAAAAACTTGATCATTGAGCAAGGCAATCTTATCAAGAACAGACTCATTTTAAAAGGTCGTAAGGTCACATATTAGTCTATGCAGGTATGACGCAAGATCATTATCCATTTGATCTTAATTCATAGCATTACATGGCAATGAGAAAACGTTGCCACTCTATGATTTGGCAGGTTAGTGACTTCTGACGTATGTATTTCACTATGTCTATGATAATATGGATCGATTATGATGAAGTCCTGGTGTAAACAGGAATCTTTTCGTCCTTCCCTATTTTAACAATTCCCTACCAACTTTAAAGTTCCCTTTTTGAAGTTGTCATAAGACGAATATCAGGTTGGAACAAAATTTGTTTCTCACTATGTTTATATTAACTTAAGAGGCCTTTATGACTTTTAAAACGCGCACTATTTGATAAGTATGTTGTAACTCTCAAGTTAGCTTAGAGCAATCGGTTTATATCATTCATGTTGTTAAGGTCTTATCTCATCTAGCCTTCTATCCTATCAAATATGGAACTTCAAAAATTTCATAACATTTTTATGGTTCAATTTTAACGAATTCTGCTAACTTCTATTGTGCTAAAAGTGTATTAAAGCAAAATACCTAATTATTATTTTTGCTATTAGTAACAAAACATCTGAGGTGATTTTTTAAACGTCTAACTGAAAAATAAACTCTCAATCAACTACCACGCCACAAACATGAAGTTATTTAGGAAACTTGGAAGACATCCTGAACTATGTGCAGTAAGACCTAACGAATCCCAAGGAAGTCAATGAGTACAACCAAACTTCGAAGGTAAAAGTCTATAAGCTCGTTTATCGCCATAGATTAAACGTCCACTTCTCCTTGATCCACTTGCGGTGGCAATTTGTTACCTCGCTCTCTCCTGGACTATAGGCAAATAAAAACATTGAATAACCTTGAAAAAAAACTAGAAAAGCCCTTTCCACTTTTAAAGCCTTAAATGCATTGGGGAATCGGTCGTCTAAGTCATACCTATCCAAGCATTGGACCGAAGTCGTAGACGTGGGAAAATCACAGGAAGTGGAGCAAATTATCATGGTCATACGAGCCTCAGTGTACATTTACCTCTTCTACGAACAAATGTACATCTGATCTTCGAAGCGTAGGAATTTTAAGTAGTTGAAATATTTGGGAATTTTAATCTGAAGGTACTTGAAGAGCAGATCATCTTAAAATGCATTCTGAGCCCAAAGATAGACTTAGAAATAACTTTAAATTTGCGTTTTACAATAGTTAACGGCCTTAGCAAAGTGCCGAGTTAACTAAGTCTGATAAAATGCTTTTATTACGCCGTCTTGGCAACATTAAGCATGCAATGTGCAATACACAATTTAGGAAAAAGTTGGAGAAAGCTGACCTACTCACTTGTTTTAACGTCTTCTCTGGTGGGCAGGGTTGTCTTATGTGTTGCTTTAAATTTTTACCGTTAGGCCTTGATCTTGTGCCTCTTAACCTGTCAAGTGTGAACCAAACCGCTGATGTTGTCCATAACTAGGTGCCTATTAGTAATATTTTTCTTCATGCAATATATATATAATTAAAGTAGAGGCTTTTGTGGGATCTCCTACCAACTGCTTTAAGGCAATAAGCGATAATATTTCAAGGCGTAAGGTGCGCAATAGACTTACCTCCACGTAGTACACTCTAGGCAATGAATACTTATACGGCAAAAATGTCTATTGTTCGGCAGTTGACTTCTTACTTCAAACTACTATGGCTCGACTATTTGCCATATTCGACCCCTTCCACAGTACTCATCTCACCTTTTCTCTGCCTTTGTGCCTGTCTGTCTCCTTTACCTCTGTAAATCATTATTCGGTTCCCCATCTCAACTTTTTATCACTTTGATGTTTCTTCTCCTCCCTGCGAAGCCACGAAGTCAGCTCCAGGGCTAATGATAACTATCAAAACTCCTGCGTAATGGAAGTTTTTAAAATGACTGAGTAGTTATGGTGTAAAATAGCAATGTCAACGTTGCTCATGGTACGCAAAAGTTAGTATAAAGTAGTTGATTAGTAGTCATTTTTATCTACTAGGGCCTAGCGATCAAGGACTTTCAGTGACAATATACCGGTACTGTGAAATATTCCAATATGGCATCGAGTGAGGTGATGGTAGTTTGAAGTGATAAGTCAACTGCCAGTTAATAGAATTTTTTGCCGTATGTGT